TTTAATTCTTATTTCGTCATACTGGCGATTGGTAATAATAAATTAACAATTATTTCAGAGCAATTCAGACTGTGCCTGACAACTGTCTTCCAAAAAATGTAGATTTGTTAGTAAGATTGAAATCTATTGCATGATGCATGATGAAAGTACCGCTATTAAGCGCATGTATGATGCTATGATTTCTTTGCTTATATGTGGACATCTGATATTTCTGTATTTCCTTAACTTAATTATTCGAACAAAAAGGTATTGAATAATTTCCATTACAAGGTTCTGAAATACATTTCGAACAATTAAGGAAATGTTAGAATAAAATAGTTTGTATGTTACGCATGTTTTGTCCCAAGAAGCTTTAATATTTTTTGCGAGAAATAAAATCCTCATTACTAGGACTAACTAGTGTTACCTCTCCAACCGCAGCAAGCGATATTACACTTTACAGCTATTACAATAAAATCGACATCCTATTATCGGAAAGATTTAAGTTATTGTGAAGTGTTCTCTGTATAATTCTAACCTTTGTTTATTTTGATTTAAAAAACCCGTTACCCGAAAAGAGATTCTTTTTTAGGCATAACGCTTATAATCCTATTGCGATTTGTGATTTTTTCATATGATATTATATTTTAAACCTTAATATTGATACAATAAGGTTTAAATTTCAGAGACGGTTTAGACCTGGATGCTTGCGGCGGTCGTATGGTGTTGAGAGTTCTGCTGCAGCTGTGTTCCCAGGGTGCTTCGGCCAGTCTCGTTTCAGGAGCCCTAGCGCTGCTATTCCGTCATTTCAGTCAGAGACAAGAAGTTTTGGAGGCTTTTAAGCAGGTCCGCTTTATAAATTAACCTAATTAATAAAAAAATTAAGTATTACCCGCAGATTTCCGGGATGTAAAGTAGCCTATGTGTTATTCTTGGACGTCAGTTTTCTGTATACAAAATTTTATCAAAAAAATCGGTTCAGCTGTTTTAGCGTGAAGAAGTAACAAACATACACACACACACTCACAAACTTTCGCAATTATAATATTAGTAGGATTAGTATTATATCAACATACCTTAGCATATTAAATATTTTACAAGATAACTCATAAATGCAAGTAATGAAGTCAACAAAAAGTGATCCTACGTAGTTTCTCATCATATGTGTGAGATTTTAATGTAATCTTTGTAGACTATAATATATTTATCGTTATATTCCGTTCAGGTCCAACTGTTAGTGTCTGACGCGGACTTGGAGTCCTACAAACAGATCAAGGCCGACCTGGACATACTGAGACAGAGCGTTGAGAAGTCGGAGCTGTGGGTGTTCAATAAGGGACGCGCCGGGATTATAGATGATCACAGCGGTGAGAATTTAATATAGTTATCAAATTAATAAATTCAAAATTTCAACTTTTTCGAATTGTCCTGCATATACCGGCAAAAATTATTCCATATACATATATGATCTGCAGTTCTAAGATATTTTATAAATTTTCTATACCTAAAACATAACATAAAAAACAAACATTCATTCATACATTATGAAATAGTGGTATCTACATACTTAGGACTGTATAACTTGTAGATAATTATTAGTATCATCTGTAGATGATGAAAGAATATTGTTAAAAAATATATAAATACTTTTCTAGATATAAAAGGCGCCGTTGGTCCTGGCGGGGCGGTGTTGGAGCGAAACGCGTCCTTAGACAACGTGCGAGCACCGAGAGGAGATCGACAGGACTACGATAAGATTAAAGAGGTACAAAATAAATATTGCATTTATATCCATCTTCTACCCGGCAATTTCCCAGCTTTTAGCCAGGGTCTGCCTTACATGTGAATAGTTTTGGCTAATTGTTTTTACGACCGGCCGCCTGCCTGACATCAACTCTATTTTGGGAATGCATTAATCAGTGATGTCTAAATACTCTTAGAAAGTATATATGACTCGGAAAAATCACATTGGTACTTGCCAGGATCGAACCCGCGCCCTCGTGCACGAGAGGCGGGCCTTTTAAATTAAAAATTTATTCGTCAACTTTAATAAATACTCAGTAGCACAGTCGACATAGTGACTTGGATACCGTATCGAACAAGTTATAAGTTCAAATTTGATGGATCCCAGTAATTTTATTATAACATAATATTGTTAATTCATAATTGGTAATACAGAACTTCCAAGTTGTTTTTGTTGATAATAATACATAAGATATTAAATAATTTTTTTTAAATTTTTATTTAATTATCACCTAAATTCAACAGGTAGACAATAAGATTAATTTTTTTTTGCTTTGCGTGAATGTTGTGTACATCTGTAATTGTCACTCATATCAGGTCCTAGATTTTTTTTCTATTTTATCTTTGTTTATGTGTGCTGAATATGTGTGATGTTGATGTACCTTTTAAATAAATAAATTTAAACATTGTATAAAACAGATCCTGGAACGTATGATCGAGTACTGTACCCAGGGCAACACGGCGAGGGAGGGGGGCGACTCGAGACCGCGGAGACACGAACAGAGGCTACTGAGGAATATAGGAGTACATAATGTAGTGCTGGACCTGCTGCAGGTGGGTGGAGGAGCAGTTAAAACAATATATCGATACGAGCAGGATTTAAACCCTATATATGTGTATGTATGTATTTATATATATCACAAATGTAAAACAGTATTCTCAAGGGTGGCAGGTTTCATTACTAGTCACGTCAATAATTAATAGTTCTTTCTATTTGGGCTTCAATACAAGTCTTAGCTCCTTGCTGTAATAATAAAACCAATAGTACTAAAATGCTGAAGTGCAGGAAAAGTAAATGTTACTGCTTTTTTAAGTTTTTTCTTTATCTTCTCACTTAAAAGCCATTGTTGCTTTTACAAAACTGTTTCCGGAAATATGCTATACCTACACTCATGATATAGGTGTAAATCATTTAAGATCTACGTTTATTTTCTACAAAGCAAAAAAAGGAAAGAATAATTTTCTGCTGTATGTTATAAATATATTCTGTAATCAATTATTTCCAGGTGCCACACGATGAGGACGACGCTGCTATGGACGAGCTGCTGGGCCTGGCGCACGAGTTCCTCCAGCACTTCTGTCACGGGAACACACAGAACCAGGCCATACTACACAAACACCTGGATCTGTTCTTCAACGCTGGAGTAAGAACAGGCTATTGAATATAAACAATTGTACTGTTATCTTGTTTAATATCGTATTTTATTATAATTATTATTACCATTAGTTGGTATTTTTTACATACATGTCTAAGTTTTCACAGTGTCTCATAAACCAATATTAGTTTTTCCGTACACTGGAATTCATCGTCGTTAACTCACAGTTACTTTGACATCTCAAGACATTTATATTTTACTAGAAGACCCAGCGAACTTCGTATCGCTCTATAATAATCCAGAAATATCTGTTACGTTTTTTAATTTATATTTTTGGAGTTTATCTTTAAGCCATAAATCTCCGTGTTTTGAAGTGCGACAGAATGATTGACATATTACATAGTTAGTTGTAAAATCTAATGTCAAAAAACCGTTTGTATGGGAAATAAAAAAGCACAGTTTTTAGGGTTTTCCCGGAAATTAATATAAAGTGCACAATCTAACAAATAAGTAACATATGCAAGGTAAATGTAACCTGATTATTATTATATATATACCATAGCGCTAAATTTTTGTTTTACAATTATAGTATAGCCAGCGATCAAAGCATCAAAACGATAGTTTTATTCAGACAACTTTTTACATCAGATCCGCGAAGCCCAGACCGTGTGCTCGATATTCGAAGAGAACGCAGTTCTGTGCGCTCACGAAGGGAACGAGAAGGTCGCCGCGCACTTCGTACACTGCATCGAATCCCGCGGACGGAGGCCCGCCTGCCTCAAGTTTCTGAGAACTATAGTACGAGCGGGACCCCACCATATACGGAGGAGCCAGGACCTGGTCATGCAAGAAGTAAGTTCCTCTCCCTTCACCCATCATAGCATGCATGGTTTTAAGAGACGAAACCTCTTAAAATTCCATGATTTCCCGTGGTAGCGAGTCTATCGTTGTAGTGAGAGGAGCTTCAATAGCTCTTAGGACTTGTGACCCAGGTGTAGGTTTAAGAGGTCCCTATCTAACGCGCATTAAATTCTCACCTCCATTTTTAAAGCTCGTCTATCAAATATTACCTAACATAAAATTCTATTTTCAGTAATATAGTTATGTTATATCACATGCTTATGTCGTCAATCTATTATGTAAACACGAATTTTTCTCTGTTGTTCAATAATAAATCTATCTTCGTTAATAAATATCTATTCTATCATTTGAGTTCATGAATGGAAACTCGGAAACGCTCAGTATTTAGTTAAACGACGCATACTTGTACTAAGGTACATATAATACATATATTTAATCGTGCTTCATGTTTCATTATAGATGCTGAATGCCGGCGAGGACGTGCTGGTGTTCTACAATGATAAAGTACTCTTCAACTACTTCATCAAAATGATGAGGGAGTACAAACAGACGGGAGAGATGCCTGAAGCTCTCACGTAATATATATGCCATTATATGATCATTTCAAAATTTATATTCTTGCTCTGGCATTTAATAAGGATTTAAAATAATTATGCATTAATTACGAAAAGTGTGAAAACAAAATTAACCAACCCAATTTTCATTACTTTAATGGTCGAATTTGTATATGTCGGAGTAGCGTGCTTCGGATTGTCATCGGGATCCATTTTCTTTATAGATTGCTTTAGAAATAATACCACAGACTTCACAGTAACAGATTTATATTCAAACTTCGAGAGTTTCAGCTTACAATGTTATCTCACTTGGTGCAACTAATAGAATGAATGCTCACTGACAATGTTCGCCCTTTTAAAGACTGTATTTAATAATTTTAGAAGAGGGTAGCACAAAGTGTTACAAACTCATTTAAAGTTAAACAAATAACAATATACAATTTTATAAATATAATTCGGTATCCATAACCGCGCCCATACGGCCATTCTGATCCAGCGCGCTCCCCGCGCTGTTCCTACGGTACCTGTGAACAAACTAATTAAATGGCTCACCCACTACGGGGGTCTTGCCAACACACGGCTCACCCATTACGGGTTCTTGCCAACACACGGCTCACCCATTACGGGTTCTTGCCAACACACGGCTCACCCATTACGGGTTCTTGCCAACACACGGCTCACCCATTACGGGTTCTTGCCCAGTCACGGCTCACCCATTACGGGTTCTTGCCCAGTCACGGCTCACCCATTACGGGTTCTTGCCCAGTCCTGGCTCATCCACTACGGGGGTCTTGCCAATTCACGGCTCACCCATTACGGGTTCTTGCCCAGTCACGGCTCACCCATTACGGGTTCTTGCCCAGTCCTGGCTCATCCACTACGGGGGTCTTGCCAACTCACGGCTCACCCATTACGGGTGTCTTGCCCAGTCACGGCTCACCCATTACGGGTTCTTGCCCAGTCACGGCTCACCCATTACGGGTTCTTGCCCAGTCACGGCTCACCCATTACGGGTTCTTGCCCAGTCACGGCTCACCCATTACGGGTTCTTGCCCAGTCACGGCTCACCCATTACGGGTTCTTGCCCAGTCACGGCTCACCCATTACGGGTTCTTGCCCAGTCACGGCTCACCCATTACGGGTTCTTGCCCAGTCACGGCTCACCCATTACGGGTTCTTGCCCAGTCACGGCTCACCCATTACGGGTTCTTGCCCAGTCACGGCTCACCCATTACGGGTTCTTGCCCAGTCACGGCTCACCCATTACGGGTTCTTGCCCAGTCACGGCTCACCCATTACGGGTTCTTGCCCAGGTCACGGCTCACCCATTACGGGTTCTTGCCCAGTCACGGCTCACCCATTACGGGGTCTTGCCCATACGGCTCACTCATCATGGGGTCTTGCCCTTATACAAGGTAAACAAGTATACTCTTCACATAATTTCGTTTTGAACAAACAAGTATAGTACAAGTAATCTTTCAATTAATTGTTCTTTCCAATTAATACTAAAACAAGAAAATATGTCACATACAAAGTAGCTTATCACTTATAATTAAAACATATGCTCATCGTCCATACAAGGTAAACAAGGATACTCTTCACATAATTTCGCAAACAAGTATAGTACAGGTAACCTTTCAATAATTGTTCTTTCCAAATACTAAAACAAGAAAATATGTCACATACAAAGTAGCTTATCACTTATAATTAAAACATATGCTCATCGTCCATACAAGGTAAACAAGGATACTCTTCACATAATTTCGCAAACAAGTATAGTACAGGTAACCTTTCAATAATTGTTCTTTCCAAATACTAAAACAAGAAAATATGTCACATACAAAGTAGCTTATCACTTATAATTAAAACATATGCTCATCGTCTTTATAATCTAATCATCATTTAAAAAAGTCATAGCTAGCGATCTTTTCACTACATCCTTTAAGGTTGACGTGTTTCAATTTATAACGATCGTTAAGTAACATTTCTAGAATCTCCATAGCACGTTCAAATTTAGAACCAAGTTTTGTAGTGTTTCTTTCATGACGACTCATGAGAACAAAATCCCCGACTTTAAATGGATTATTTTTTGCTTTACCCTTATCGAACCTTAGTTTGTCCTGATGAGATCGCTCGGCCATCCTTTTTTTTTTTATAAAGAAGCTTTACATAATTTAAATTTTCTATAGGTTCATTATCATCATCAACTTGTAATAGTTTAATAAGCGGTGGCGAGCACTTTTTACTAATTAATATTTCTAAGGGGCTTTTACCGGTACTTTTGATATTGTGGAATTTATTGCCAATTGTAGCTCTTGTATTGCACTAAGCCACGGCTTATTAAGTTCAATTACTGACAAATTATAATCTTTAATGACCTTCACAATTAGTTCTAACTGTCCATCAGCCCTACTGGCGCCCCTGGCGCTATGATGTTCTATAGCGTTCTCATTACAAAATAGTTTAAAATACGCGGAGGTCATGCTGTTGTCTTGGTCGGATATGGGACGACTAGGGTATCGTTACGTAAACTTTTTATCGCGGTTTCTGTCGTGCGGTCATTTGTATATACGAGATTGGCATATTTAGTGAAACTGTCATTAAACACAAACGCATACTCAGCCTGATTACGTTTACCGTTCATACGACCTGTAATGTCGACGTGTATTGTATGAAAAGGGATGCTGATTTTATCGATCGGATGTAATCTTATTTGCTTAGCGCCTGATATTCCTTTTCTAACACGACAACTAACGCAATTTTCTACGAATTTCCTAACCAACTTTGATATATCGGGGAACCAATATTGTTCTCTGATTTTAGCTAAAACTTTTACCAGGCAAAATGTTGTAAAGAATCATGATAATGGGAAATAAGACTCCAACGATGATAACGGGGTACTATAATAATCAGTTTCAATGTTTTATTGTCTATTTGAATTTTTACGCCTTAACAATTTATCTTTTAAAATAACATATGTATCCGCTAATGTTTGGGGAATTGAATCCGATTTTAATTTGACAACAATATTGTTTTAAGAAAGGGTCACGCTTTTGTTCTATGAGAAGCCAATTATGATCAATAATTGAAATATTTATAGATAAATTAAGTGGTAGAAAATCACCGTTTTTATCTGATACAAAAAACGCTTACGCTAGTTTTAAGGAAAGAAAATTTGGAAATATCTATTGAAAAACCCGCATCGGACAATCTGTGTAATACTAAGTTTAAATTTAAGTATAACCTCTTCAATACCCCGTGACGTAATCGTGACGTTATCAACCTAAGCGAGGGTTATTTTATCTTTATAGTCACCTAAAGGTTTATATGATATGTCACGCTGGTATACCGCGGGTGCATTACACAAACCAAAAGTCATACGTTAATACTCAAATTGTCCATCTGGGATAACAAATGCGATTTTCTTAATAAAGTATTCTCTGATTACAATTCCGTGAAAACCGGCCGCCTAACCTGAACACGTAAAGAATCGCTCCTTACCTAATTTATCAATTTGGTTCGCGATTAATGGTAGTGAATAATTATCCCTTACAGACGCGATGGTCAGACCCGTTTTTCTTCTTAACTAAAAGGATCGGGTTACTAAACGGGGTAGAACTATCTCGAATAATACCTATTATTATTAGCTTTTAGGTAATTTATAATATTTTTAACAGTTTCACGTTTTAATGATGACATTCGATACGGTCTACGTTGAACTATTTTATCTGGATTTTTCAGTTTGATGCTTAATTCGCCCGTTTTAATTACAGACTCTAAAACTGTGTTTAAAGGTATCAAGAGTTCTTTTTAATTTCGATAATAATATTGGATCTTGAATATCAGTATTTATATTAAAGTCATCAGAATTAGTAATGGTGACACTTTCATTTATAATAAAACTACGTTTTATCGATATACCCTCTTTACAAAAAGTAACGCTTAGACCTGGGGTTTTAATATCGTCGAAACTTAAATGTTAAAACGTCAAGCTGAGATTGAGTATCGCCGACTACATAAAATTATATTTCAGTGCAAACATCGTTCTACTGTAGTTGTAATACTTTGCGTTGAGATTACTGGATACCCGCCTATACCTATAAATGACACACTAACGATTTCTCACTTGTTTCGAATAGATCCCGCGAGTTTATTTCTAATTAAAGAGCAGTATCGACCAAGGCGCAATAAGTCCGACCACCTATCTTTATATGAGTCATACTACGATCCCTTGAAATACACAAACCAATACTTAGATTATTTCACTTCGAACACTCACTTTGTTTAAAGAAGCAATATTTATTTTTTTTTCTTCAACATAACCTCGCTCAAGACAGTAACTACATTCAGAATATTTTATTATATTACTAGTATTATTTACAGTATTTAAAGCCAATGGACCTCCGGATGTAACAGTTCTTTCATTTTCACAATCGCGAGCAAAAATGACCGGGTTCATTACAATTATAACAATTACCATACTATTTACTAGCTAACTGTCGGCCATGTTCTTTTACATTGGTTACTATTGCTACTTTTGATATTATAATATTTACTCATTCTATAAGTTTATATATATATTTTTTTAAACAGACACTAAGACAGGTAAAGAACTGGATATAGTCCTTAATAATTCACTTCTAATTTATTCACGATAAATACCTGTTAACAAAGCGTCCATAATTTCTCAATCACTCACTTCCGGCCTGACGCGCCCGAACAGCGTCCAGCCCGTCGTTGCGCGATCGGAGCAACCGTCCGCCCGCTCAGACGTGTAACCGCGCCACCTCTGGACGTCGCCAGCGTAGCGGACCTCCTTCCCAAAGGCTCGAATGAGGTCCTCCTTGACTTGCTGCCATGACGCCGACTGCAGTGACCACGCGTCAGCCCAGGTCTCAGCCCTTCCTTCCAGGTGCAGCACAGCTCCCACTCTTGCCTCCCGCTGCGACATACCGCAGGCAGTAATCACCTCATCCACGCCCGCGTACCAGTCTTGAATGTCGTGTGAGCGGACGTCCGGGTCGAAGGGTGGTAGATAGAAATTGCCTCTTAACGTTCCTGAAGATAAGCCGGCTCCTAAAGCAGTAGTCACGGAGCCCGAAGCTGCTTGCTTGCCCATTGTAGAAACTAGACTCATAACCTCTTGTATTGTTAAAGTCTGGTCGTTTTGACTCCGGTTCCGTGAGCCTCTCAAAATTGGCGAATGGGATCCCACCGCTGCTGTCGGAGTAGCGTGCTTCGGATTGTCATCGGGATCCATTTTCTTTATAGATTGCTTTAGAAATAATACCACAGACTTCACAGTAACAGATTTATATTCAAACTTCGAGAGTTTCAGCTTACAATGTTATCTCACTTGGTGCAACTAATAGAATGAATGCTCACTGACAATGTTCGCCCTTTTAAAGACTGTATTTAATAATTTTAGAAGAGGGTAGCACAAAGTGTTACAAACTCATTTAAAGTTAAACAAATAACAATATACAATTTTATAAATATAATTCGGTATCCATAACCGCGCCCATATATACATTATTAAGGTACAACAGCGTAAGATATATATGCAAGAAAGGTTTATCGATAGCTTCTTTGACAATCTAATATAAATATGCACTTAATATTACATATAATTAATAATATTTATGTATATATTTCTTGCAGGTACCACATAGACCTCATAAAGCTGTTAACATGCTGTACCCTCGGGAAGAACGTGTACACGGAGATCAAGTGTCACAGTCTGCTGCCACTAGACGACATAGTGGCCATGATCACACACCCTGACTGTATACCAGAGGTCAATCACACTTATACATATGTAACATACATCCATGTAGCTGAAATCGTGGTAGTAATTAATACTATCGCAACTTAGTCACAAAAATATTAATCAAGACCGAATATTGGATAATTATTTATTGAAATATCAAATTGAATTAATTTTATTATTTAACTCAATGGGCTTGCACAAACTAAGCTTAATATTATAAAATGAATGAGAATGCTAAGAAGTTATTGTAAACAATATGTATATGATATCAATAGGGCCCGGATTAATATTTAAATACATATTTTTAATTTACGCGATTTTTGGTCTAGAATGTGTTTTTTACATGGATTGTCATATTTAGACTGAACAACCAACTTTTATTTTCCATATTTTACCATATTTCAAAGTTAAGTCCATATTTTACAAGAAAATGTCACAATCATCCATATATTCACAAAATACATAAAATTTACGTTCCCGCCACTAATGTTTTGGATAAAAGTAAAGGATTTTAGACGCTAAAAAATTAACAAAATTCTGTGCGAAAGTTCCGAGTTTAATTATGAAAGTATTTAATTTTATACTGTATATTTTTTCCATATTTTTGATTTTTTTCGTCCATATTTTATGTACATATTTTAGATTTTTTAATACATACTTATCCGGGCCCTAGTTATGATACATAGGTAATTGTATTATTCTTAAATTATTTCTGTATTTTTATGACAATTATAATTTATTCTTTTGCTATTTCTAAATAAAAAATATTAAATAAACATATCTTTCTTTATTTTTTTTTACAGATTATAATATGGGTTAAGTAAATGAAACAACCAATTAAATATGAGACATAGCGTTTTTATTCAATAATCAATAATATTTTTGTTTATCGATAGAATATTTAGCATTAATAATATATACAAGGAAAAAATAGCAACTAAATAGATCTTAAAACTTAATACAGCGATGATTCATTTAAAATTATGTAATATTATAATCAAGCACACATATATCTTAATCAATTTTAACTATTTAATTTATCCTAGCGTTCTTCTTGGCTCTGACGCCAGCGAATGTTCAAGCTTGTTATTCTAACAATTCTAGGTCTTACGTGCTTCAGTCTCAAACCTTTTTTATTACATTCCTCATGATACCATTCTTTATACATACATTTATATATATCTGAAAAACGATGTGAGCAAGCGTTGCCGTACATAGTATTTCGACGATCAAATCAACTTAATTTTATCTAAACATAAAACGTATATAAAATTATAATGTGTTAGTTTTTAATGAAGTTTCATTTAAGAATATTTATATTTTAAATGGTATTAATTTAGATTGATTTTATACTGTCCGTCAGTGATACTGAACGTCGTGAAAACCAATATATAATAATACATTTTGTACCTATCTATCTAATTTTATCAGAAGTTGTGCAAATATCGAAACCAATTTTTATTGACCCATAAAAAGACGAGCCAACATATTTCTTCATAGCGAGAATGTTAGTTTCATTAACCGATCATTATGCTTCTAATATAACAATAACAAAACTGTTAGTATCAGAAACTTGTACTTAATTTAAATCTTAATATTATTTGATATTTCTACAGTGTTAACATCATGTAAGCGGTTATTTTCAAGACCATTTTCAAGTATTGTCTTTTCATTTTTATGGTTTACGTAAATATCCTGAATCGTCACATTTCAAGTATTGTATAGATTTTTCTTTAACATTTTGTAATAGCAAATAGTGTGCATTTGCTAAGCCTAAGCCGATAATAGTAAAAATGCATTATTACAAAAATTGTACAGAAGTAAGTGTACAGTGTACTAAGTGGTGCTCTAAATGCTTCAAAAGTCTATCTTTAATTTTTATATATAAAAAAAAAATTATCTCAAATATTTAAAAACAATAATTATGTTAATTAAAAATATATATAACAAATACATGATATACGTCAACATAAAATGAACATTCGCCCAATATTTATAACAATTACAAAAAATATTAAATAACAATTAATTATGTTTCTTGAATAGAATAAACGGCTTTATTTCATTCAACAAACTCTGTGTTTCCTACACCCCGTACTCAAGAATATGACTCATCCAACAAATAAAAACGATGACATTTAGCAAAATATTCCACGATTCCAATGCAAGGGAAGCCATATAGCATAACAAAAATGTATAAAATACTTTAATAAATTGGAAAATCGATCTTGCATAAATATTTTAGTCGATAATTATACAGAACCTCAGTGTACTAATTGATGTTAAAATTACTCCAAAAAGCGTTAAATTTTATACATTTTAAAATAATTATCTCAAAGTTTTTAAAAACAAAACTCCTCCTAGTTTTCTTCACACAATACTCAAGATATATAATTCGTCCAACAATAAAATATTCCACGATTCCAGTGCAAAAGACGCCATAGCATAAAAAATATATATAAAATATTTATCTAGATATAAAATAAGTTCAATATAATCATAATAGAGGTCCAATAGTTATACCAAAGTCGGCGTAGTCCAACATTAGGTTCCATCATCATCTGCGGCCTCCAGCAGCTCCAGACAGTGGTTCAGCGACACGAAGGACTCCCTGCCTCACCGCCCATCACCTGCCACATAAGTATACGCTGCAATGGAAAAGTATACACACAATGGAATTATTATTAGTACTCTTCTAATCACTTCAAAAACATTTACATGAAGATGTAATCAAAGTCATTTCATACACACATTGTAAGCAACTTTTGCATTATTTATATTAATTGGATAAATAACATTTGAAGATCATTTCTTAGCACTTAGCAAATCTATCCTGCTATCATTTGTAAAAAACGTGACACCTGTCATGGCATTATATTAAATCTTTCACGAAAATAACTAAGTTATGAGTAAACAAAATATGGTTTTCATATGCCTCTTCAGATAAAAGCTGCTAAAAGATTCGTGATAAAATTTTAGATACGGTCACGTAAAGAAAAGCTTTAATTAGGCACAATAATTATTGTAATAAGGATAACTTCCAAAACAACTATTAGGTATGTCATAATTACTTATTTATGCTTGTCTGGACTGAAATAAAACTGATATTTTCAGATTTACGACGCATTTTTTAATATTTTGCCTATATACTCCCGACCTTTATTTTACTTTGCAGCAACCGAAAATATTATTTCTAATTCAATGAATATTGCCAAAGTCTTGAACTCATGCTTGTCTGGACCATTCTTGAGACTTTATTGATAAAAACAAAAGAAAATTAATACTTATAATATATAATAGAATATTAATACTTGCCAACGTCAGCAACAATGATGTCAGCGTATCGAGGCAGGGCTCGAGCTGCCTTGGACGCTATCTGTGGCACGTGGAGACCCATCAGTAGTGTGGTAGCCTAAACACATTAACATTCTATTTTAATTTACATACCTTTATATCCGTAACATCAGAATTTTTCTATGTAAATAACAACTAAATGACATTACAATTAATATTATAATTGCGAAAGTTTGTGAGTGTGAGTGTATGTTTGTTACTTCTTCACGCTCAAACGGCTGAACCGATTTTGATAAAATTTTGTATACAGGAAGCTAACGTCCAGGAATAACATATAGGCTACTTTACATCCCGGAAATACCGAAAATCCCAGAAATCCACTGGTAACACCGCGGGGCGCAGCTAGTATTATATATTATTTGAGTTTTCTTTTCAAATCTAATTTGATCATTGTATAAAAACCTGTATGCTCCTTTCATCGGCTCCAGCTGTCACCATAATGGCGGCCGCTTCCTTCATGGCAGGAAGGGCTTTGGGGGCAGCGGACATCCTAACAAGGATCTCACTGCATACAGCCTTGGATAAAGCACTGTCACTAGTAGACACTATCACTACACCGGCGTCATCTGTCAGATATTGTCGAAGTACTTCCAGAACTTGGGAAAGAACTTCTGGTATGTTTTCGCTCATAATATCTACGCCTTCCATACTCTGGAACATAAATTGGTTAGTAAACACATGCACTTATAATGTAATGGAAAAAGGTTTTTTATTATCTCGAATGGATAGCGCTTGACTGTCACTCCACGAGTTGGAAGTTGGAAATTAAATCGTTGATGGTAATGCACTATACCGTTTAAATGTGATAAAAAACTATAATACACTTTTAAGCTAGTTTAAATTTCAGTTAAAAGCGTGATGTTTTAAGTAAATAGACAGTCATTATAAGTTAAAAGCAAATAAATTAATATTGGTATTAAAATTATAATAAAATATAAAAATTGCAATTTCAGCCAATCAAAACTATTAAACAATACAATACGTTGTGTTCATATTATTAATAATGAGTTATGCTTACTGAATTTGTCTTGAACAGGTGAGCAGCGTATCTGAGCCGTAATGTGCTGCCTTGTCCCAGCTCGTGCCACTCAGCGCTGCCACTGGCCAGCCTTCACTAACTTCTCCAGCGCTTCACTTTCTGAATCTGATTCTTTTGTTTGTTGTTGCATCTCTTCCCCCTCCTCTTCATAGTCAGCTCATGTACCTGGAATATTTAGAATAATATGTCACATCAACTAGCCTTCGTACAAACAACTTGATCTGAACTATACCAACTATCTTTGTATATACAAAGCGTATATACAAAATGTATATACATCGTGTTAGTTACACTATTTATATGTCAAGAACGGCTGTACGGTTTGGCTGAAAATTTGTGGAGAGAGACGACGAAACTTCTCAGCAATCCATGGATTCACCGTGCGGGTGCCGGGTCCATCTCGTTGCAGGGAGAGGAGCTTCAACAGTGCCTGGGACTTGCGACCCAAGTGTAGGTTTAAGGGGCCCCTTAACTAACGCGCGTTATACGCTCACCTCCACTGTCCAAGC